TCACAGTGCATGTTTTTCCCCTCAAGTGGTGATTGCCAATTTGCGAAATTCTAATTTGGCTCAATATATGTATTTATGTAACACCCTAAAGCTATCTTTCCTAGAATCCAATAAACATATTTTTTTAAAAAAAATAGTGAATTATGGTACAATTCAAATAATAATTTGTTAAATGTTGGGAAAATAAAAATGTGTTTGGAATCAAAACAATAAATACTAGCTACCAGGCAGATATATCTTGCTTATCTCAAGCTCTGCATTTGAAACTTGTTTAGTCTATGATATTTTGTTGCATATAGTTTAATCTTGTATTTGTTAATCTCACTTTTTAAAAACGCAGTAAAAGGTAGTTCCTAAATTGCTATTTTATGTTTTTTGTTTATTTACTACGACTGTTTTTTGTTGGTTTAGTATGGCTGGTTTTTTTTGTTTATGTACCATTAGATTTCTGAGAGCTCTGAGTAACTTGCATCTACCAGTAATAAAAGATTTTTAAAGTACTGTACAGGTAGTCCTCTACTTACAACCACAATTGAGCGCAAAATTTCTATTAAGTGAGACATTTGTTAAGAAAGTTTTGCCCCATTTTTCTTGCCACAGTTGTTAAGTGAATCATTGAAGTCGTTAAGTTAGTGACACAGCTGAGTGAATCTGGCTTCCCATTTGACTTTGCTTGTCAGAGGTTCGCAAAAGGGGATCACATGACCCCGGGATACGGCAACCATCATAAATATGAGCCAGTGGCCAAGCGTCTGAATTTTAATCATGTGATCATGGGGAATGCTGCAAACGTTGTAACTGTAAAATGGTCATAAGTCACTTTATTCAGTGCCGTTGTAACTTGAAATGGTCACTAAATGAACTGTTGTAAGTCGAGGACTGCCTGTAGTCATCACCATTGTGCAGGTCAACCCTCTATCTGCTACCTGGGAATTGAGACTAGTTAGACACTAAGCCCAAAACCATCTTCCCCTTCTCTTCCCAGCTTCATTGTTAGGACTAGCCCTGGTTGATGCAAGTTTTGAAAACCACTTAGTAAAGTATGAGTATGGTAAATTATAGGAACCCAGCTACTTGAAAAGAGTCTTTGTGTGTGTGTGTCTCTGTGTGTGTTTGTGTGTCTCAACAAAGCCAGTGCTGAACCCCTACATAAAAAGTGTGGCCTTACTTTTTTTACTCTTTCCCTAACCCACAAGGGATATAAAGCTATACGTTCAGCTTCTTATTTTGACTAAACAGAATCAGTAACTATCAACTAGTTTTATGTAGGTGTGACAAGGTGGTGAGAAAGATGGAGTGACATGTGAATCCTGTTTATTATCCCCCCCCAAAGACAATTGTTTTTGCGACCTGTGAAGGAGAACCTTACAGCAAGGGCAGGAAACTTATGAACTCGACTTACAAAAGTTTATTTAGTGAACGTTGGAAGTTTCAATGGCGCTGAAAAAAGTGACTTGTGACCGTTTTTCACACTTAAGACCATTGCAGCATCCCCATGGTCAAATTCAACTGACTCATATTAGCAACAGACTCATATTATATGACGTTTGCAGTGTCCCAGGGTCATGTGATCCCCTTTTGTCATCTTCAGGCAAGCAAAGTCAATGGAGAAGCCAGATTCACTTAACAACTGTGTTACTAACTTAACAACTGCCATCATTCACTTAACAACTGTGCTGAGAAAGGTCGTAAAGTGGGGCAAAACTCACCTAAAATGTCTCACTTAGCAACATACATTTTGGGCTCAATTATGGTCGTAAGACGAGAACTACGTGTATATCTGGGAGCTTCACTTTTTAGGGGTCTTTTGGGGAAGTGAGGGCTATAGGAGTAAAACAGTGATATGAAAGGGCAGGGATGCAGTTTCAAGGGACAGGCATGCTGAGCCTGTTAATATTTCTTTCTTTTCAGTGGAAACTTTGCTCCTTGAAAAGAGTGCATCCTAAGCCAAAAGGCTTTCAGATATTTGATACAACCTATATATAGCCAAGATCTGTCTCATAGCAAAGAAATCAGATATGACTCCAAATCACATACAGGTTACCCTCCACTTACAATCACAATTGGAAGCAGAATTTCTGTTATTAAGCAAGACAGCTGCTGAGTGAATTGTGCCCAATTTTATGACCTTTTTTTTGCCAGGGTTGTTAAGTGAATCATTGTTCATTAGGCAAATCCAGCTTTCTCCATTGACTTTGCTTGTCTGTCTGGGAAGGTTGCAAATTGTGATCACATGACTGCAGGATGCTGCAACTGTCATAAAGAGTTTGTGGTTGCCAAGTGCCCGAATTCGGACCATATGAGAGAACTGATCATAAGTCACTTTTTCCAGTGCCCTTGTAACTTTGAGTGTCACTAAACGAACGGTTGTAAGTCAAGAACTACAGTATGTGTAGTTGCAAGTAAAAAAGAAAGAAAGCTGTGTGTTTATACAAGGTAGCATAGCATTAAAATCCAGTTAAGCTCAATAGTGTCAGAAGAAGACTGCTCAGAAGAACTACTGCTCAGGGCTGCTCAAGAATAAATAAAAATGAGATCTAGACAGCTGTGAGGAAAGAAGAAATATTTATTCCTAGAAGCAAAACAATTTCCCTTTAGGGGCAGGCTGTAGAGAAATGGAGTTATAGCAGCAGATTTTTATAGGGGGAACTTGTCCAGGGTGTGGAAATGTATACATGCTGTCTCTAGGGAGATACTTGAGGGGCATGTGTGTGTGTGTGTGTATGTATGTATTCTTGTGAACATGCAATTCCATTGGGAGACCTAATTTAATTAACTCTATTTGTATTTGCAGACCTTATCCTTTGATATGTGGATTAGGTCTGGGTAACTTATTTTGGAGGGGGTTTGAGGAATTTTTCTAATTTTAGTTGATTAACTTAATTTCAACTCGACTATCAATTATCTAGTGGAGACATTGATTCTCAGACCATTTGTGGATTCTGTTAATATTTTAAGGGAAGATGGAAACGGTATAAAGAATAAAATACATTTGGATATAAAACTTCTCCCAATGGCTAGATTCTAAAGTGAGAAGTAATTTCCTTGGAATGTAGGCCTTTGGCTACAACAAACACAATGTTAAAGAGAGACAGGCCTTCTACATATGTTTGGAAACTCTTCACTCGGTCCTTTGAGAACCAGGACCTTCTGTGGAAAACAAATTCCTATCAAAGCTGGACTCTTATACAGTCTGAACCTTGGATCACTGAAACTGGTGACCGCCCTGCTAAACAAAAAGCTCTTCAAAAATTTTCTTGCACATATAATCCTTTAGTTTCTCTCCTGTTTCTCCTCATTCCCACCCACCTCCTTTCCATGTAATCATTCCACTCCGCCTGTCGGAAAAAGATTCTAGTGTTTGACCGTTGCACAGAAGCTTCTTTGTTGGGAGCAAAGCGTGCCCTTCAGTATCTGTAGAACTAGAGCAAAAGGAAGGAGGTGAGGGAGCAGACAAAACCCCTGACTCTGGGCAACTCTTAAAGGAAATTATTTCCACACATGAATACCAGTCTCTCACCTGGTAGGACAGAGCAGTGAGTTAGTATTACAGAAGTACTAAAAGGGGGATTATGTGTGCTTTTACTGTGAGTAACCTGTGAGTAGAATCTGCCTGTGGGCTGTATTTATGAGGGATAATTTCTGTTTCTAATGCCAGATGTTTATAGAATAATAGGCCTTTTCTAAGAAATGTCTGTTTTGAGATAAGTTATGTACATTTTTAATGGGTCGAGAATCGCTTATGCATGTCCTGTGAGGTTTTTTTTTTCTTCCTTAATGCAGGTTTTTTTTATATATGTTGATCCTTCTTGGCACAGTTTAGATTACTGTTTTGAAGTGTCTGATTACAGGATGTATACATATTTATTTTTGCTTGTAATTTTTCTTGGCTTGGCCAATGTAATTCAAATTACATCTTCCCTTGCCAGTGGGAGACGTTTTAAAATTACACCATAGAGTAATTACTAGCATCAAATGTACAAAAGTCCCCCTACCACCTTCCTGTTGCTGAATTGAAGGCTGCAGAAATAGAAGGCTGCAGGAGCTTTTCCTCTCAAACTTAGTTTTTTCCTCTCCTGTTGTCGACAGATCTCTTGGTAATTGCATTCTGTGGCAATAAATATCTCCTCTCTTTAAGAAGGGTGACTCCATCCATCAGCTCTGTATCATTTTACCAAAGAGGCATTCTTGAAGAGGATAGCAGCAAGCAGTCATGACATGGGTCTGAAATGATATACACAGAGAAAGTCATAGAGGCCTAAGATTCCTGTGGCTGTCATCCCAAATACAGGTAGTCCTGGACTTACAAACACATTTGGGACTAGAATTTTTGTTGCCAAGCAAGGTGGTTATTAATTGAGTCCCAACCAATTTTACAACCTTATTTGCTACAGTTAAGCAAATTACTGCAGTTGGTAAGTGAATCATGAAGTTGTTAAGTGAATCTGGCTTCTCCCATTGACTTTGCTTGTTGGAAGCCAGCTGGGAAGATTGTAAATGATGGTCACATGACATTGCGACCATTGTAAATACATGCCGGCTAATTTTGATCCTGTGACCATGGGTATGCTGTGATAATCATAAGTGCAAGGACTGATATAAGTCACTTTTTTCAGTGCTATTGTAACTTCAAATGGTTGCTAAATAAATGGTTGTAAGTCAAGGTCTATCTGTAATACAAAGGAGTTTTTACTTTTTCAGGGAATGCTGTGTAACTTGCTGGTGATTTGAAAGATATAGGGGGGCCTCCAACAAGCACCTAGTTAGCTGTTGTTGAAAATGAGAGAAGGAGCACTGTAATTAGAATTTAAAAAGTATTTTAAAAGATCTCCATCTCTCAACAATTTGGTTCAGTTTCCTTTGCCACTTCTCCACTAATTTTATGGTGCTGATTTTGACTCTTTTGAGCCCATTTTACTCTTTTCCTAAATGTAGAACCCCTTTAAAAATAAAATCAGAGGCAGAAAACAAGGTGATGATGCAGTGATAGATCTACAGTGGACAACTGGAATGTTTGACCCTTCTGGTCTCTCCCTTTTTCTAAAAAAACCTTGTCTCTTTCTAAATAAAGAAAACAATTGCTAAGGGTAGGTCTCTTTTTTAAAAAAAAAAACGCTAAGGGAAGGTCTCTTTTTAAGGGAGCAAAAAAATGCGCTAAGCCTATTGAAGATTTAACACACTTATTCTACTTATTTTTGTTCAGAGAAAACCAATATTAAGATGCACTGTCATTATCAAATAACTGCTGAAAATTCAGAAGTTGATCTTGAGGGCTCAGGAGTGCCGCCCAAAGAGGGTGCAGCCACTGGTCGCCAACATTTGCTTTAAACCCTCTAATTAGCTTTTCCTAGCTGGTCCACAGATTGCTGACAGGGAATTCAGAGATTTGGAGTCTCAGTGCTTTTGAAAGATGGGGGCTGGGGAAGGAGTCTCTCAATGGTTCGTGATTGGACTATGTCAGGGGTAGTCAACCTTGGCTCTTTTATGACTCGTGGACTTCAACTCCCAGAATTCCTGAGCCAGCCAAGCTGGCTCAGGAATTCTGGGAGTTGAAGTCCACGAGTCATAAAAGAGCCAAGGTTGACTACCCCTGGACTATGTCAAGAATGGCCTTATTCCCACTGAATGTGCTTGGTTCAGCTTCAGCTTTAGACTCGCTACTATCAAAAATTTTGGGAAGGAAAATTATGAAAAAAATGTTTTTGTGGCAGCCAGATTGTAGAATATCTCCTCTTATTTATTTAGCAAATATTATTTATGTACTTATTTAGCAAATTAGTCTATTTCAGCAAATTTATATATTTTAAAGGGGCCTTTACGAAAAACTTGAATTGTAATACATACTCTGCAGCTGTTTCTAAACTTCTATTTATTCTTGCTTCATTTTTTTTTCATTTAAGGCCACATTGCTTTATTTGCCAATGATTTTGTTTATCATTAGGGTTTTTAAAAATAAATAAAGATAAAAAAGTTTATAAGTCAACCAAGGCTTTCACAGTTCCATGAATTTTATTCCCCACTGTCTTCTCCTACCGCACTAAGTTCCGAGGAAGAGAGTAGAATTTTAAGACAACAGAACAATCTTTCATTTTAAAAAAACTTTTCTCTTTCAAATCTCAGGGGCTCAAGGGAAGCTGAATGACCCCAGTGGCAGAGATGTGGAACTAAGCAAGGATTTGGTTGGCTTTAACACACACCTCTGGCTGCTTGTCTGATGGCTTGTTTAGTCTTGTTGGAGTTTTTTCTTAGTAATTTTCAGTAATTACCTTTTTTTGGGTCCTCAGCCAATTCACCTTCACCTCAGGGCTGTGTAAAGGCTGCAGTTTAAAGCCCCAGATTTCTCTCTGAAGTAAAAGCCCGAAAAAGGAGATAAAAAGCATTGCTTAATGAATTAAATGCTTTCTTGGTCATATTTCCTCTCCTCTCCTTAGTTTGGATTTGCGTTCTCTTGTTTTTTCTTCCCTCTCCTTTTGATTTCTGTGGAAATCTGTCCATTTCTGGCTCTTAATGTGTGCTTTGTTTTCATTTCTCATTCCCCCAGCTGACTTGGAAAATGAAGACTGGTGCCTGGGATCAGAGCTGACATCAGCCAACATAAAGACAGAACCAGCAGTGACTGAAACATCCGGCCTTGCTCCGTCAGGCAGTCTTACTGCTTCGCCCAGCCCCACCATCCTGGAGGGGGAAGAGCCACCGCTGCAGGATGATGGCACAGTATGGTTTCTGGTACTTAAAAACTTGATTAGCCAAATGGATAATATCCCTAGACAATGAGAAACATAGTGCCTTACTTAATTTGAGGCAGAGTTAATAGAGATGGCAGAAGTAAAATTGTACATCCCAGTCACATGATATTTTGCTTAACAACTGAAGGCGAAATAAGGTCATATATCTTTTGCGGTCATGTGATTTACTACTTAATGACTGCAACACTTAATGACAGAATTGCTGGTCCCAATTATTCTGGAGTATGCCCCATTCTATGTATGGATCCAGTCATCAGTTCCAATGGCTAGTTGGAGCATGAAACATGCTTGCGACGGCACCTTGCAGCACAAGGAGGGTATCAGAAAGCTGATCTCCACCCAGAGTTAATGAAGAAAGTGGTGCAACACATGCTTCCGTGTTATTTAATAAAGCAGAAAAGGGATAACCATCTGCTCTGGTTCTAAAAATGTTTCTTTTTGAATTTCTTTTTTTTTTTCAGACTAAATCAGAGAGTCACAAAATTCTTCCTGAGATTAAACTGGAGCCGCATGAAGTGGATCAATTTTTGAACCTTTCATCCAAGGAAGGTTTGTTATGTAGCATAGAGTTTCTTCTGTACAATGATTGGCAAGAAAGAACATTACTTTTGATCAGGAATCTGTGTGGTTTAGAATTATTATTCAGTAGACACACGGAAAAACTGTGCCCCAAGGAAATTGTTGTTTTAGCTAAAAAAGGAGGGTGGGGAGAGGAGCAGGAGATAGTTAAAGGTTTTAGGGTGCCCTGGCAAGAAACGTGTTCTGTCTGCTCATGGCCATTGTCCAAAGGAAGAATGCAATGAGTAAGATGCTATACTCTTCCTTTGAGCCACTCAGTTACAATGAGAAAACTGCTAAAGGATGCTCAGGCTTTATCAGTGCGCCTTTTTCTAAGCGGTTGGTCTTGGCAGGTAGTAACAATTCCAATCTCTTTTATCCAAGTGTGTCTACACAGAGGGGGTTAAACCACCCGATTGAAGCACTGCCTTTTTTAAAACCTGTGTCACAACATACATAAAATAAGGGGATGACATTGATTGCATAGTTCTGGCTGCTATCTTAACAATTCTGTGTCTTCATGATCTCTGCACATGGACATTTGTTTATGAAGTCTTGGAGTTGCAGATGAGAGTCATACAGAAATGTTTAACCTCCAGTTCTCCCCTTTTTCCTCTTCCTTCATCCATGTTTGCATTAAGCCAGAGTTTACTGATATTAAGGAAATTTTTCCTTAATATCAGCTAACAAACCAGGATAGTAAGCTAAAATCGGGAAAGGATGATTGGCCTATGGTGGTCTGCTCTTTTTTGTTAAGCTTTTCTTAGAAGTTAAGAATATTGGTTCTTTTGTCTATGGCTGAATGTTCTATTGACTACTAAAAATGCAGACACAGAAATCTGGTTTTCACAGTGTTGTTAGGATTCCTTTTTCAAGTTACAATTGTAATTCAATAGATAATTCATTGGAATTGAGTTTTCACAATGATTCTCTAGCTATGCAATAGTACTTCGTGATATACTGCCTAGAGCACTTCTCTGAGACATGGACAGCTATATAAATTCGAGAAAATGAATGAACAAATGAATAAATGAATGAATGAAAAGTTAAAAAGACTGTTCATCTCCTGATAACTGAAAACATGTGGTTTTCTTGGCAACAACATGGAAGTGACTTTTTCTGGAAGTTAGGTAGATAAATAGACAGATGGACAGACAGACAGATAGATCATAATAGTATCATTCCAGTTTGGAATGTGAAGAAGCATACCATTTTACATTATAATGATATAATTGATTTATTAGAGAGATGCTAGGTTTGCTTATTTTCATATTTTGAGTTTGAATCTTGGATTTTATGTTTTTGTTGTTAAACTTTAGACATAGTCTTTAGTTCAGGTGTAACTAATTTATTCATCCTTTCAGATGCCTTTGAAATCATGATTTAAATTTCATGTACAAGCTAGGGTATGCATTGATAACCTGATTGGCATCTATCAACCACCCTTAGCCCATACTTTCCTAGTTTGGGCATCCAGGAAGTTTATGATTTACAAAACAAATGTCAAGGTTCCGATCGACACAGACAAATAAAGCAGAACTCTGAGGCTTGCAAATCCCTCAAAGAACATGTTTATTGATACAAGACATGTATTTTTCAAACTCAATCACATGAGTGAGATAAAGTGGAAGAGAGAATTTGCATTCCTAAACTCATGATTTTTGAGTCATAGCATCTAACCAGGACTATTCTTTTTCTAATATTTTAAAACAAAACTCTCTAGTTTATTCTTCCTCCTCTTGTTTTTCTCCTGCAGTGGTGGATACTCTACACATGCCTCCAACACCCCCCAGCAGCCATGGCAGTGATTCTGAGGGTGGACAAAGCCCAACCCGGTCCCTCCCACCATCAAGTCCCACCCACTTGCAGGCCACTGTTAAAGTGACTTCACGCACAGCTTCCGCCCTCACCAATTCACCTCTCTTAACAGCACCACATGTAAGAGACAGTGGTCTCTGCCTTTTTCTTTTTGTTTGAATTATTTAGGAACTTTGATTGATATTAAAACATTTGTAATGGAAATTATGATTTGTCCCATTTAGCAAATGCTTATTTTTTTTATATACTTCAGAATATTGAAGAAGAACAGTAATTAAGGGGATCTGGATATTGCTCGGTTGAAGAATGCACTAACATAAGGCTGCCCTCAGAATGTGTAGTTAGAATGCTCCAGGCATTTAATCCATAGCCATTCCCATTCGTCTATAGCAGCGGTTCTCAACCTATGGGTCGCGACCCCATTTGGGGTCGATCGACCATTTCACGGGGGTCGCCAAGCAAGGCTGTCCGCCATTTTTTTCCCCCTTTTCCGGCGGGTGCCTTACCTCCCTTGGGCTGGGCCAGCTGGTGGTCGGCCTGCTCCGTCTCTGCCGCTTGCCAGCTACGCCTCGGCCGGCGCAGGGGGC